TGCTCCTCACAGACATCTACTACTTCTGCATTCCTTCTTTATGGGAATTGTATTTCCCATGTTTTCTCTCATGTATTGTATCTCCCTTTTAGTTTCTAAACATATGTCTCTGCCCTCGATCCTGCACTTATTTGGCATCAGGGTCTTCTACACCCAGTTTGATCTGGTTTCTTTGTTCAAGGCCTATCCATCATTTATTGATAATGAAGATAATTTAGACTTTTGTAGCAGAAACTGTTGCCTACTTTACCTAAGAGCCCTCTTCTGTTTTTCCATGCTAATAGAAATCTGATTTTCTTTGGGAATCCACTGTTCTCCGACATGATTCAGGATCAGTTCTTAATACTAAGTCATATTTTTTTTAGAAGAGAAGCCTTTCAGGCTCATGAAATACCTGCCTTCACTCCATTTAAGGCATCTATACATTGAAAACAAAACAGTAACATTTTTGTTAAAAAACATTAAATTGTGAATCAAAAACTGCTTAATTGCTACTATATACATATGTCCAAAGCAAACTTTGGGCTTACAAATGAAGATTTTGCTTGAAAGATAGCTGTTTAATATTTACAGTTGTATTTTTACCTAGGCATGAAACAGAAAACTATTTTAGTTATGTCCCAATTGTCTCTGGTATAGATTTTAATTATATAATAATATCAAATAATCCACCCCACTTAAAATGTGTGTGTGTATATATTACTTCATAGACAGATTAACATAATTATATATGCCAGATGGAAAAGTTCCATTATTTTATGAAGCTTTATGACTTTATTAAATGATAATCTTGTCTACCAAAAATTTTAAACTGCTGCATTTTTTAAACTTTCTATATGTGGTTCACACTACTGCAGATGTCATTTTCCCCTTTGCCCTGCTCTACTGTGGCCTCACCACTGTTCCCTCAGGCCGTCACCACACTGTCGTCCCCATGTGCGTGGGTCATGCATGTATGTTCTTTGGCAAATCCCCTCACCTTCTTTTATCCAGTCTTCCCCCCAAGTCCCTCCCCTCTGACAGCTGTAAACTGCTGCCTTTTACAGGCATGTGTTCCTTTTCTTCATAGAACCAAGATAACAGACACACCTGCGTTATGAGGTCCTAATTAAGAATATGTTTAGTGCAACTGGCTTTTCTGAGGAGAGGGTTTTAGAAACATTCCTTGACCATTCTAGGTTTGGAAGCAAAATGACCAGTGTGACCTGAATAGACACTGAAGTCTCAAAGAGGCACTTGGGGAACAACCTGAGAAACTCAAGGGCAGTAAATCACTGCCACCGTGGGGGCATTCCTCTCAGAGTTCTATAAAGAAGCAGAGTGTGAAACAGCAGACCAGGCAGACAGGGACATGTAAAAACTCTAGTGCACTGAGGATACGTGCTAACCTCACACTGTCTTAGAAGCAGTGATGCCATCATTTTGACCATTGGTCCCTTCAATTTTATTCTTTGGTTTCAGAGCTCACAATTTTGATTGTTCTCACAAAACAAAGAGAAGAAATATTTTACTTACTCTTTAAGTTGTTTGTACTCATTTCACCATATGTGGCAATGAAAGAGATGCACATTTCAGAACTCTCCAAGGAATTGGAAAGTAGGAAGAGATATAAGACCCAGCTTTGGAGTAACCGCAAACGCCATTTTCTTTCTGCCTTAAAGCTGTCCTCAGGAGACCTTTTTATTCACCTCAATAAGTTCCAGGTGGTACCACTCTACTGATTCCTAGTGCCCAGGAACACCTGTGGGAGTTTATGGAAAGAATTTTGGGAAAAGAAGCTGCAGGTAAATAGGCAGAAGCAGCTAGTGACACAAAAGCTTATTACTGGAATAGACAGGTTACTTTGGAAGGAATCTGATCAATGGTTGAATTCTGAGGATCACCTGGCCACTCTTCATCCTGTGGTTTTTCCCCCAAAATCACAGATGACCCCCTGGTGGTAAACTTACTTTCTCATCTGGGGAGAAAGACATGGAAGGAAGATATTGGAAACTCTAAGTGCAGTGGCTGTCACTCAGATCTCCCTTAGCAGTGCCACAACCGTGTCTTCCAGTGAACTAATAGGTAACTCCACGTGAATATCCCACTGGTGTCGGCCCAAACCTGAAACAACTACCAGTATACTCAAATTAAGATGAACTCTGAGTTATCCACAGTGGATAACTCTAAGAACGTTTGACTGAGGGAGTCTTTATATAGGTGTGGGCAGTTGTAGGAAAACTATAAGGGGTCATCCAGTAACTCAGGAACTCAAGGCTGTAACAGCTGAGCCCTTGGAACTTCTAGTCCTGCAGAAAAAAAGAAAGGAAATGTTTAATGGAATCCAGAAGGAGAGTTTCACTGGAAAAGGCCACTGACAGAAACAGTGACAGTTTGTCAAGGAAAACACCCAGCCCAAGGTGGGCCCTCCTGGAGGGACTGAGAGGAATATATTCCCCACCTCCTGTCATTCTCATCATTGACTGAACCCAACTGGAAACCAACTGTATTTCATATAGTTCAGCCTCCTGGAATGTGTAAGAGGTAGATAAAGGTGGGAACAGATCTGAAAAATCAGCGGCATGCTGTCCAAGCATGCTGCTGATTGCATTTTGCATTCCAAGTTGATCATCCTCCTGTATGAGCCAGTTTTGTAAGTAGCACCATGGTTCACCCCATTGTATAAATCAGAACCCCATTCATCCCTGTTCCTGCCATCATTTTCACAACATCAATTCTCTGCAAATATGTGATCCCAAATCCACATCCCTCTATTTATGAAATAGTTATGTCCATGCCATTTTTCTCATATCACTACTATTTCTCTTCACAAGACTCTACTCTCACTCCCCTCTACCATTTCTTAGCAGCATCTATTATTTTCAGAGATCACTTTCGACACTTCTTTGGTTTTTGAATCTCCAAGAGGACTTTGTCCAGCACTGTATCTCCAGTATCTAGCACAGGGGCTGGCATGCACAGTGGCTCAATAAATACATGGTGAACAAATGAATTGATGAGGGCTTTCAATACTTAGTAGCTAAATATTATGGTGCATTTTTCAGCAGTCTCCTTTGCTGCCTTCAGTCCTTTGCTATCATTTACATGTCTGCCAGCATGCCTTGTCTCATTCATAAGTCTGAGGATGTCACTACCTTGTTTAGAATGATTTTTCAGCACTGTATAGACTTCCAAATGAAGCAATCTGTTCATTGGACAACCTTTATCGAGCATACCTTCTATGTGAAAGAATGGAAATTAGAGATGAGCCAACAGATTCAGTTGGAGTGCTTACAGCCTGCTGAGAGAAACAGTAACAAAGGATAAACTGCACTGAGGTGTAGTAATATAAGGTAGGGGCAAGCTGTGAGGAAAGGCTTCCCCAGGGACAGAAGTTTGCAAGCCACAGTGGTAGTGTCTCAGCTCCTTAGCCTCATGTTTAAGGACCTTCACTGTCTCAGTCCTGATGAATGTCTTATATTCTATGTCCACAATTTTTTTTTTAATTTGGACTTCCAGCTCTAGAGATGGCTAACTATTCAGAGTTCTCTAAAGGCTTCATGCTGATTCCTGCTTCAGCAGTTCTGCCCAGCATGGCCTCCTTCTTGCTGGCCTAGCAGACACATCTGCTTTTCAGGGAGCCCTTCTCCTTCATCTCTGTCCTCCTCTTCTCTGCTCAGTGCAAACACATTTCTAAAAGCAATTTGATTTCTTTCCACAGTTTTCCAGAGGAGTGTTCATGGGTTCCCAGGCATTAGCAAGCCTAAATTAAATAGCAGCTTTGGACATGGAAGCGCCCACATTCCCTTCTCATTAACTTAGAGAGTTAACAGCCCCTGAAATATGGAGAACTCCTTGAGGGAGATTGGTGACTCACCAATTTATTCCTCCCTGTTTTAAAAGATAAACAGTGGCTTTTAAAATTACTCCAAGTAAACCCAGCCAAATGTTATCTTTAAATTTAACTGAATGTACCCAGTTTGATCCTCAGTGTAGTGAACAGCAACAGATGACACTACACAGAAAATGTTTGACCTTTCATTGTAAATATATTACTAATTATTTGTATTCTTGAGTTATTGAATATTTGTAGCTCAGTGCCACTGTAGATAAAAAGAAAAACCTCATTTATTCTTGGCAATGGGTACAAATATGATTGCAGACAGTTCAAAAGCATATATGTATCAAAAACTTAATAAACATCTTTTCCAAAATTTTCTAATCACAATTATACTCTGATGTGAAGTCAAGTCAAAAGTAACAATATGGAAACAATATAGAAAGTAATAACTGTTACTTTTTTATTGTAGAAGTTCATAATTAGCATAGAGAAAATTAAGTTCATAAACAAAATACAATACCATTGAAACGCACACTGATTTTTCACCCAATGCAGTTGCTTTACAGCTTTATGAGTATGAAATAAAGATAAGTTAAAAATTAAAGTCAACAGTATTCAAATTTTAAAAATCCAAAGATACCACTTTCAGTTCAAGACTAATTATCTAACCAACTATATTTAGGAGTTTAAAATCAATGCTAATAATTTAGCTAATGATTTCAAAATAGATATACAAATAACAAACACACTATAATTTTCATTTAGCTTTTTCCTTTTGGCAAGTTAATGAAAATTTGCATAATTGAGCAGGAAAAACCCCTGCTAACTATGTCATATTATGATGCAACTAATTACTATCCTGTGGGTTCAAATTTATCATGAAATAAATCATGCAGAGTATAACTTAGGTAACACTGTAACACTTTTTGCCTTGAAGAGCAATTTTGTAATTATGTATCAGGGTCCTGAAAAATAATACTGTATATTTATACTTAAACATTTTCTTAAGAAAAAATAAATTGAACACTTGCCATATTATTATACCTTAAATTGTTATAGTTAATGATCCAATATCATTAAATCCATGTCAACATTTTCTTTATTGACGATGAACAGGGTAATTCTGTTGCCTGGCTACGAAGACTCACTTGAAAGGAAATGATCGTTAATGATCCAAGACTCAATGAACCATGAGTCCTCCAGGTATTTGGATTGGTGAGGGATCTCTGGTTTGACTTGGTATTCTGGAGGTTCTATATAAAAGTAAAAGAAAAAGTTAACAGTATGCCATTTTAAGGATTTTACAAATGTATGTGTGCTTATATTGTTGGATGGATCCCATGCCTGGAGGGGAAACTAATCATCTTCCCGAATGTAAAGACCCAATAGTCGAGTATGCTATGGTCTTTCTAAGAAGTATCCTGAATTGAACTATGATTTCCAAGTAATCATTTTCAAAAAGAAAAAGAGTTCTTTCTTTTCTCAAATATTTTTGTTTCAAAATATTGGTTTCTACAAATTTCTTTGAAGATTTAGGGCTGTTTTAATTTAGTATAACATGAACCAAATGCGAAAACTTCAATCTATGCTGCAGAAAGGTGTCCACGTGGATTAGGCCCGACTACAGGTGAGCGGCAGTCAGCCCTCTTGCACAGAGCAGGCACCATCTACTGCAGATAGATGGGTGGGAGGACACAGCTCTCCATGTTAATGATGCTTTTGCTTTGCTTTATTCTTTCTTTCTATGATGGCTTTTACTTTCATCATTTACTTAACCCTGGGTGTGGATCTTTCAGAATATAGGTAAGGATCAATTTTAAATTGGATGGAAAATGACTTGTAACTAAATGTAATATACTGAACAATATGAATGATTAGTTTAAAATACATGTCAGAGTAAATTCAAGATTTTTGTCTATACCACTCCCATTGTCATCCAGGTAAGGGATGTGCCTGTTTCTGCAGGCAAGAAGAGAGATAAAATTACACTGATACACAGGGAATTTTAAATGGCCACCACCTTATTTATCTGTGGCACAACAGCACAACAGCAATCTGTCAGAACCCACGGCCCTGTGTGACAGATGTGAATTTTATAGATTATATGTGAGGCTAAAAAATAAAGATTGAGAACCACGAAAGTAAGATTTTTGCAAAAGACCATTTGTGCTTCTCTGAAACAATAGGTCTGTGATGGAATATGTAGGCAGGCCCAGTAACTGAGCAGTGCTCTCAAATATTGCAAACCAAATAAAGGGAAGTTGAATAAATTCCAAATGCCATTTCCCCTTTGAAACTGACTCTAATTATATGGCCTTTAAACCTATCTCAGAATCCAAGGAGTATCTTCTCATACAAATACAACTTCCGAGACCACAGAGGAAAGCAGTTTGTTTTAGTACTGGTATTGGTAAGCATCAAGTTAAATGTTTAGAGAAGTTGGATTAAACAAATGGATATGTTTAGCTGGCATTGCTATTAAAAATAAATATTACTGAATATCCATGGGTAGAGCATACACTCTCCATGTGCCTGCCCTTGGCATTGCCATATTTCTGCCACTTCAGTCTTTCCTTTATCTGCCATTGTGTCCAGGACCTGAAGCCTGAGGTTTCTGGGAGCAGCATGTCCACATGTGTTGTGTAGTTGGCTGTGTCTCCCCCTGTGGGTGTCATGAGAAGAGAAATGCCCATTGCCTCTGCTACTCTCTAGGCTGAATCTTACTGACAAATGTATCTTATGTTTGTATTTATAATATATGTAATGTTTCTTTATGATCAACTATATACAAAGATACATATAGGTATAATGAATTAGGAAATCAACATCACTGATATTTAAATATGAGGTTATTTTTAAAAATTAAAGTAAGCAACTGCACCCCACTTTACATCTATTTGTAAATGATAAATAGGTGGAAGGTTTTTAAACCCTAGAAATTTAGAAATCTAGAGATTACTGGTCTTAAATATCACATGTCTGCTGGAGCATTACTGCATTTGAGCAATGAAGACAGCCAAGAAAAAATATTTGGAAAGAGTGAATTAATGTCAGGCAGAAGTAGTATCTTTCTAATGGTACCCTGTGAGGCCTCAAATTATACAAGCCTTAATGCTTGCATATTAAAACATGAATGAAATTCATTAGAATGTAATAAATTAGAATGAAGATTAAATCTTTAGGCAAATATAAACTGTATAAAGTGCACAACAGGTCCATTCTATAAGCTGATGAATCCTGCAAGTGGTTTGCATAGGGAATGAAGCAAAGGTCAACTTGGATTTTGTATGAAAACCAGGGAAAAGATTGATAACAAATTTAATTGGGGGAACAATACATATGTGCTTGTAAAATGCAACAAAAAAAATTCCCCTATGATCACATTTCCCTTACATATGAAGGCAGAGAGTACCGTTTCCATGGACCCAGCCCACATTAAAAGTTGATTTAGTAGGTCTTAACGGAGAAGTGTTCATTCTCAGGCCCTTTGTGGTGAAATGTGGTCTAACGGGGCTGACTCAGCTCCAGCCCTTCCCTTCGGCGTTGTATCCAGTTACCTCAGCTTGATCACAACCATGAGAAGGATTCCACAGATGACTGTCACACACATGACAGCATACATTACTTCTCCTGGAGACAAAAGATTTTTAAAAGTTACTGGATTTCTCGAGAGAATAAATAATAAAAAGAATAGTACAGAAGTTTGATTTTTAACGGACCGTTGAAGGGGGAATGAAATCCACTTAGAGTTATTTCCTCTCTATGTTTACTTTTATGCAATGCAATGCCTTTGACATTAGACAGAGTCGAATAATCTGAAAGAAAATAAGGAAAATGAGATTAAAGCACTTAAAGGTAATGCATAGCTTTTATCCCATGGGTTGTAATTTGCTTTTTAAGGCAGCAACTTATTTCTATGATACTATTTTAATGAAATATAATATATTCAGGTAAACTTTTCTAAAATTTTGACAGCTTTTTTCACCTTTTAATCAGATAATTTCCTTATAGAAACTTTTTTCACAGCATGATTAGAGAAAATATTACATTTTATAAAATATTCATATATAGACAATGAGAAAAAAAGACAGTAACTTTAGGCTGTTACTGGGATATAGAAAAAGATTCTTCCTTTACAAGGGTGATTATTTTAAAGTGCTTTTAATGATATGTCATTTCCCTAAGATCCACTGTGTTTATGAATTCTTACAAAGGAGAGTCCTTAAACCTATCACTGTTTTCACCCCTCTGCTCAGACATGTCAACATCCAGATTTACTTATTCCCCCCATTCTGTTTCCCTTTTTTAACCCCTTCAGTCTCTGTTGATGCCACCTGGTTTTATCTCACTTAAGGGCTCCTCTCGACCACTCTGTTGCCCTGATCTTCATGATCACATTTGCAAAATAGAGTTTTACTTCACTTCACAAAACACAAGACAAAAAGATGTGATCCTTAAAATTAATCGATAGATGCATTTTACATGACTTTTACTAATAACTTGGAAGTGAAATCACCTTTAGTTCTGATTCAGTTCAACACAAATATTGCCAAACATACCAATAATCTCAAAACAAATTTCTCTGATGACAATGATCCAGGGGAATTTGGGGGCTTAAGTAAAATGAGGTAAAGTCTTCACTTGAGGGAGGCTTTGCTGTCCTCTGTTTCAGGTGCTTTCTGCATTTTGGGGCTTGGAAGTCCAAGTATGAGAGTCACTTTTTGCAAAAATGAGTGTATCAAGTCAAGGGATAACATGTCCCATGACAGCTAGGGGCGGCAGGCTCTGAAGAGGAGGACGGGAAGCTCTATTCCCTACAGTCCCGTTAGTTTTGTCTCAGCCCAGGCCTGCTGCTGTTCAGAAGCCAGCTCCTTGGAAGCCAAGCTTTGATAATCCTGGGTTAAGGATTATCTCTATTACTCTATTACCAAAGTTTGATGATCCCTGTTACCGAGGTTTGATAATAGGGATAATCATTTGAAAGCATAGGTCAGTCCGTTTCAGATCCATAACCAAAGCCCCCTGCACCAGTAGTGGGGGAGCATCCAGGAGAAGTATATTATATTATATACTTAGAGCCTAATATAAAAGCTAGAAAAGTAACTGGGAGTTTTGTTATTAAAACACCCATTCTCAAGGAGTCTAAACTCAACATAGTTAAGACATTTTTAGTTCAAGATTTTTTAATCCCCAACTCACATATTGGGTTATCATATAATATTGATAGAAGTCTGACCTTAAAACTAAAAAAAATCAACCTCTTTTGAATATAAAAGTAACAGAGGTAGAGGTTGTGAAAAATTTTCATTACCGTGGTTATCAAATACATTTTGTTATTCACTATAATGTTGAAATGGAAAAGTTCAGCTGTTTCAAATAATACCATTTTTATAATAGTGGTCCTTTTTGAAAGAATTTTATTCAAATTGAGTATACAAATACTCAGTGAAATAAATTATTACAATATTATATTTAAATCAATTTTTAAAATAAAGGACAAATTATTTTGATTTTTTAAATTCAGTGGCATTTTGTCACATTTTGAACAGATTCATAGCCTAAATGTAAATGTATTTAATGTACATTGATTGTTCAAATGAAGCTATCATTTTCTTTTTGAAATTTTATCTTTAGGTACATTTGGTCTAGTTAGATATCATGATTTACCTTTGCATAAGAAAAAAGTATTATTTTGACAAATTATACTACCCTTTAGCTATATAACTGCTTAAAGTAATTGTTAAACATTCACCTAGCAAAGTTTAGAAAAAATCATTGCATTCACCAAATTTAGCTCACATGGAACTCATTAACAAGGTTATAATAGATCAATGACAGAAATGCTAGCTAATGATCCCAGTGAAAATTTTAATGTGTCTAGCAATCACTCCACAATCTTCAATATTGCACCCTAGGAGGATACCGAATATCAGTTAGTGAGATTAATGTTACAGAGGGTTTCTTGGCTACTGAAGCCCATTGGAGATTCTTCCCCAGCCTTTTATAAACAGTGAGGTTTACAATGTTTTATAACCATGAAATTAAAGTCGGCAGAGTTAATAACCCACCTCAGTCCCACACCATCTGCTATATTTATAGATAAACACTGTCAGTGACTTGTTTATCTTGACTTGTTCCCTAGAGGAATTAAACACTATTATGAACTATATTGTAAAATCCCTGTACATTTGACGGGAAATCAAGATTAATTTCAGCCATACATTAAGAACAAATTTAAATAGTATTCTCTCCAAATGAGCTACAGAGATGTGATTATTTCTGTGCTTTTCTTCCACAGTCCTTGTGCAGAAGTGGCTGATGGAGACTAAAATTGTACTTTGTGTAATTTATATGAAATGGTAAGTGCAATGTACACAATGTGGTAGAAAGTATATGAAATAATGTTTGAAAAATAAATGTCAGAATTCTTGAAATAGACATTAAACATACCACAAACTGAAAATGTATAAACCTTTCATTAAAATTTAAATTAAAACATAATCTGGAAGATTTTGCTTAGAAGAAATATTTGATAAATATTTTCATAGAATAACTGAAAAAAGCTGTAGCTGTTTTTGAATTGTTAATATATCATATGACATTGTTATTGTTGTTTTTTGGGGGGCTCTCTTTTCATGGTTAAATCAAAGAGTGACAGTGCTGTGGCGATATCTTAGTGAGAATGAAAATCAAGGATCACCTTTTTGCATATCCAAGGGTTGGAGCTATTTACCAGACTTAATATATTAAATTTCTAATTTGCTCAATATTATCTTATCTGAAGGTATACAAATTCCCAAATAGAAAATGAGTTTTGAATTCTTTCATTTAATAATCAGGAGTGAAATTGCATATATCATGGACTCTTCTGATCATTGTTGTCTGAAAGCCTCTGTCTTAAAATGGATCTCAAGCCCTGGCTGGCGTAGCTCAGTTTCTTGGGCTGCAAACCAGGCATCGCAGGTTCGATTCCCAGTCAGGGCACATGCCTGGGTTGCGGGCCACGGCCCCCAGCGGCTGCACGTTGATGTTTCTCTCTCTCTCTCTCTCTCTCTCTCTCTCCCCCTTCCCTTCCCTCTCTAAAAATAAATAAATAAAATCTTTAAAAAAATGGATCTCAGAAGGATTGGTGTTGGGAAAAAAGAAAAATACATAAACATTCTTTAAATCTGAAAAAAATACATTAGTAATGTGATAGACCAAGGTCTTGACACAGATAATGGGGATATAATACTATTGCCACTAGCACTTAACATTATAAAACTAAACCAACTAATGAAGACATTTTTCCTAAACAATCATAATCTGTACCAATAAGGTATGTTCCTTTATTTAGTTCACAATCTTCAATAAAGATAAAACCACATCTTAGGTTTACTTTCTACACTGTGGTGAAACCCATGGTGTTGCTGGTCAGGGGCTACAGAAAGGGGAAACTTGGAGGTATCAGTCAAAGGTGCAAAGTTTCAGTTATGCAAGATGCACAAGTCCTAGACATGTACTGTACGCTGTAGTGTCTGTTGTCAGCAATACTGAATTGTACATTTCACATTTTTCTGAGAGGGTAGATCTCATGTTAAGTGTTCTCATCACACACATGCAAATAATGAAGAGGATGGAAGGAAATTTTTGGAGGTAATACATATGTTTATGGTATAGATTATGGTGATGGTTTCATTGTGTGTACTTCTCTGCAAACTCATCAAGCTACATGCATCAAATATGGGCAGATTTCTACAGGCAACAAAACAAAATAAAAAAAAACACATCAATGAGGAAGTATACACTTCAGAACATTTGTCTTGATCTTTTGACATGAGCCAAAAAGCTTAGAGTTTATAAATAACTATACAGATGGTCACTGGCTTATGATGGTTTGACTTAAGATCTTTTTACTTTATGAAGGTCCAAAAGTGATAGAGGTTTAGTAGAAACTGTAACTTGAATTTTGATCTTTTCCCAGACTAGTGGACTGGGCAGTGGCAGCGAGATGGTTTTGCCCAACTGTGGGCTAATCAGTGTTCTGAGCATGCTTAAAGTAGGTGAGGCTAAGCTGTGGGGTTTGGTAAGTAAGATGTGTCAAATGCATCTTCAATTTATGATATTTTTACTTTATGATGTGTTTGTTGAAACAAACAGCATTCTAAGTCTAGGAACATCTACTGACAAGGCTGGCAACTGCTCTTTGACCCTTGGTTGAATGACAGTGTTGTTCACATGTCCAGTAGATATGCTTGGTGATTATAGTGAGTTTCAACTGCACTAATAAAATCTCCTAAATATTCTACGTTCTCCTTAGCAGTTTCTGTAAACAATGAAATAGTCACTGACGTGGCAATGAGAGTGCAAATTATGCTATTTTTAACAACTAACGCTAGACTAGAGCAATAAAGTATTATGGTTTTAGAAGGCAATAATTTTAAATCTTAAAATAAAAAAAACACATGTAGCTTTGGGCTCAAACATATCTAAAGATATTGATAGAAAATAGGTATAGAAGATTCCCAGTTAGAGCATATGTGTACATTTATAAATACAAAGTGTGTATGTATAGCAGAACTACAAAACTGGGTGACACTTCTTAGATTATCTAATTTAAACTTTCATTGTAATGGTCTATTCCACTTTATTCTTGACAGATAGTCATTACCATTCCAGCAATGAGCCATTTAATACCTTTTTACATTTCTACTACAACTGATGGTCAGTTCTAATGAAAAGAGAAAATGTTTTTCTAGATTTCTCTTTTATCAATTCAGAATAATATATCTACTTTTTTGGTATCACTGCCTAGCTCTCTGGCTGCTACATGTAT